TCCTTCCCGATCTTCTTAACTCTCCTTGTTGACGTCTGGTGCATGTGTTTTCCATTGGCGATCTGGGTATGCCTGCCCGTGTGAGTGTTCTCCTGCGCCGTTCAAATCCGGAGCGTGCGCAGCCTGCCCGCCGCTGCAGTCGCAACAGCCGTGGACACGACTGTTCACGTCCATGCTGTTGACATCTCTAATGTCATTGCGTCTAGCAGTGCCATTGTAACTGTCGCGGTCTCGGCCATTATTTTCGTAGGTGCTGGCCCGAGCATCCTGGTGAGGGTGTGAGCGAAGCTGACGGTACGAGTCGCAGGCACGGCCAGAAGAAATGTGATAGCGTAGCGTAGCCTGAATCTCAGTCTCATTCGTACACGCACCTCCACACTTTGACGGTCTGGTCGTACGTGTGGTCGGACCTAGAGAGACGCGTTCTCAGATGCCTTCGTAGTCCTAGCCGCCTTCGTTGGCGCAGCTGCAAACGTTGTTGTATGCAAAGTCCTGACTGCTGGCGGAAAGAACGGCCAATGCCCAACGTGATGAGGAGAGGAAGGAGGAGGGGGAGGATGGAGAGGATAGAAGAAGTGTGCGGGAGGAGGATGACAATGATGGTGATCAAGAGGAGGGACATACGTTGCCATCACCATGCCCTTGGAGGGAGCGGTTGTACATTACAAGAGGTACGGATATATTATTCAATCGCTTCGCTCATTCCGCCGGCCCGTATTGCATGATCGCTACTGCTTCGGCGCGGGCTCGGGGCCATTTCGGCGCCGCCGGAAGGAGGAAGATGAGGATGGGGAGGGGGAGGGGAGGAGGAGAAGAGGATGAGAAGGAACGGAGGATGAAGATAAATATGAGGAGGAGGAGGAGGAGGAGGAGGAGGAGGAGGAGGAGGAAGAGAAAAGGGCGGAGGAGGAAGCCTATGCATCTTGCGGCGCTCTTGGGGCCAAACAGGGCCGTCGTCCAGATGCTTCTTTGGGAGTCCCTGGGGTCTGTTGAGAGGCCGTTCGGGGGCGCCTGGGAGACATTTTTGAAGCCTTGTAGGGCCTCTTTTGAGCCTCCTTGGAGCCTCCTGGGGTCTCTTGGGGGCCTCTTGGCGGCATCTTGGGCCATTTGGGGGGCCTCTCGGGGCCTCCTGGGGCCCTCTTGGGGCGGAAGGCTTGAGGTTTTGGTTCGTTGTCCCCATCTTGGGCCCCTCTTGGGGCCGTCTTGGGGCTCTCTTGGGCCGTCTTGGGCGTCTCTTGGGCCGTCTCGGGGCCAGTTTGGGCTCTCTGGGGGCCTTCTTGGGGGCATCTTGAGCCGTCTTCGTGCGCTCTTAGGGGCCTCTTGGGCCGTCTTGGAGCATCGGAGAGCCGAAAATGCGACAAGGCCAAAATCCTTCCCAAACCATCGTACAAATTATGATTTGGGCCTCTCGGGGCGCTCTTGTGAGGCCACTTGGAGCGTCTTGGCGGCTTCTTGGGCCGTCTTGGGATCAGCTTCGGCGTCTTGGAGCGTCCTTTGGGCGTCTCGGGGGCTTCTTGGGCAGTCTTGGGGGCCTCTTGGGGCCCTCTTGGCGCGCTCTGGGGGGCCTGAGAGGCCGTACCCAGGAGGAAAACCATCTCTGAGTAGACCTTCCCGGGCTGCGGTCGGGGTACTTTTCGCCGGGGGACCCCCAGGGGCCGCCCCGCGCGCGCGAACTAGAAATATTGTTAAGTAGTTACTGGAGATCTTAGCACGCCTCTGGCCCGTTGGGCCGGCGAATTTGGCGTTGTTCTTTCAGCCAGGCCCATCACTTTCAGAAGGTGTACAACACCCCTTCTCCATCCTCCCCCTCTGATTTCTCTCTTTCTCCCCAGCCGCTTTCCCTCCAGGTTGGTCTGTAGGCCTTGGCGTTGTTCCCTCACCGCAAAGACGGTGCCGATGTAGGCTCCGAGCACCGTGTGCAACATCTAGTTGTCCAGGTTATGTGTGTTTCTATGTGTGCTTGCCATGTGTGTTTGCTGTGGCGAGGAGGGGCAGGATGAGGAGGAGCAGCGGGAGGTGGCAGTAGCGGGGGTGGCAGTTCCTGTCGTGGCGGTTACAGCAGCCACCGTCACAGTCGTCACAACGGTCAGCGACATCAGCCACCGCCGCCATCACATCCCCATCACACCGCATGCTCTCAGCATGGTTTCTCTTGTCACGGCATCAAGCGTCCGTCGTTCGGACGCTGCGATGCAGAGCTGGCATCGGCGTCCCCACTGCGCATCCAATGCCGCGTCGTGCCCATCGCCAGGATACAGGATGAGGAGCGAGGAAGGAGGGAGGAGGAGGGGAGGAGGGAAGGAGTGGGGAGCAGTAGAGAGGGAGGAGGGAGTAGGGAGGGATGAAGGATGGAGGAGGGCAGAGTGATGAAGGGATGAAGGAGGGAACAGGGAGGAGGGCAGGAGGAGGCGGGGAGCGAGAGGGAGAGGGCATGTTCTTCTAGAGCGGCAACTTTACGAGTGAAAGTGATGAGAGGTATGTTAACAAAAACAAGCGCGCACGCTCCGCACAGCGGGCTGGCAGAGGAAGACAGACGAACAGTTTACGACAACCTGCAGGAACTCATCAAGCCCACGACGACCCATAGTACCACCATGGCGCTGGGAGGCTTCAACGCGCAGATGCTGCAACAGAAAGCCGGGGAAGATATAGTAATTGGGGGACATGTATTCTTCGCGCTTCCCGCGAAGGATCCACCAGCGTGCTTTGCTGCAGAGAACAACTATTCGAATGTTGCGCGCCGCAGACATGGTCATCGCGTGCGCTTTCTTCGACCTTCCCAACGAACAGCTGGCTACCTACCCGGACCTGGGAGCAAGTCCGATGGAGGAGGTCACGCCGTGCAGGTTCGCGCAGATAGATCATGTTTTATGTCATTTGTCTGTTCTCCAGCTTGAAAAATGATGTGAAGTTTGTGACGAAGCAGCCCTCAATAGCCACCACTACTCACTAACGGCCGACTTGCCCCTCAGTCTCTTTACAATGGCCGTCGCGCACACGCCCAAGAAGGATGCTGATGCTTTGGCGGACGCCGTCGTGGAAAGAACGTTCACCGCGCAATTTTACGAATCATGGAGAGCTTCGGGTGGTAGTCAAAATCTCGACAGCATGGCAACAGACGTGGGGCTAGCTTTTGCGGCGGCCGCAGAGACTCTACCAACGCGTCCTGCTACAGCGAAGCGCCCGTGGATATCCAAAGCCACCCCGGATCTCATTGACAAAAGGAATCGTGTCCGTCATCTCCAAGACGACCAAAACGAACAACTCATGAACAAAGCAATTCGGAAAGCTGTCCGGGAAGACAAAGGCCGCTGGGTAGAAACGAGTTTGATAGGAGGAAGTTGGGAAGCACTGCGGACATTACGTCGACCTGCTGCTGCTGTTAAACATGCTGGGGTCAAAATCTTAGACGGTCATCTCACGGACGCCGCTGAGCGACTGGACGCTTTGGCGGATTATTTTGAGAAAGTGCAATTGCAAGTTCGATTCCCGGACTTATTACCGACTTCAGGAGAGCTATTAGGACCAGTTTTGAACGTGGCCACGAACAATTCCACAGTGCTGGAGCTGCAGGTGGACATGCGCGTAAAACGAAAATCTCGAAAGCAGCAGGTCCTGATAATAACCCACCAGAATTTTGGAAAACCGCGGTTAAAGACGATGGCGCTTGCGACGCATTGCTACAATCATGTATCCAAAGTTGGGAACAAAGAAGACGGACCCGAAGCATGGAAGAAGGCAAACGTGACCCTACTTTTCAAGAAGGGCGATACCTCCCTCCCGAGCAACTACCGGCCTAAATCTTTGCTTGCGGTTGGATGCCAAACCTTAGCCTATGATACACCGACGGTTACTCCAAGGCGGAGCAGAAAAAGCACGCGGAGTGTTCAGTCTGGCTTCCGGCCAAAACGTGGGACGGCAGACGCACTAATGATAGCTAGAAGGATGATTGATGCAGCTTATCAAAACAAAGGTCATGGGCTAATCTTGTCACTGTTAGATTGGGCGAAAACTTTTGATCGACTTCAACCAGATTGCTTTTGCAAAGCATTAGCACGTTTTGGATTGCCTGCCCCCGTGGTAGACACGATGAAAGGCAGATGTTCACAAATGTATTTAACGGTGCTAGATCATTGCGGACGGTCTTCACAACGTACTCATCAAAAGGCAGGCATTGCCCGAGGGTGCCCGTTGTCTCCATACCTCTTCATTGCTGTGCAAACTGATCTTCTACACGACGTTTCGGCACATCTTGCATTCGCAGAAGAGCCAGACTGCATCGTTACCCGCGACATCCTTCTCGCGGACGACACGCTTTTGGTATCCAGTGATCCTGGGAATTTGCAACAAAGGCTGGACGCAACCGTAATGGAGGGACAAGGGTATTGACTAGAATTGAATCGGGACAAGACAGTGCAAATCCAAATTTGCAGTCAATGTGTAGCCAAGCAACCCAATGGGGAACCCATCCGGAAAGTTCGCAAAGCGATATACTTGGGGGGGGTCTGTCTTGCGACGGGCGCGCATGCGATGAAGTGTCCTAGTGGATCGGAGGAAACAGGCATCTTCTCAGACAGCTTCAGAAAAGCTGGTCGCATGCATACATTGGAAGGCGTAGAAATATGCACACACATTCGAGCTGTGCGGTTTCAAAAGTATTGGACTCACCGGACTCTTGTTGGTTGCTCAAATCAGACAAGAATATGCTCGACGCGTTTCACTGTAGTTGCTTGCGGAGAATTCTGGGCACCCCTCATTCATACTATTCACATATATCTAACGCTATTGATTTGGAACGGGCGGGTACGAAGCCTTTGTCTGCCATTTTTGGTGATAAGCAATCTCTTCTGTACAAGAGAATTGCAGCGCGACCAGGCCATGGCACAATAAGTGTTTGCAATCGCGTATCTTCGTTTGTGACTCAGACATACGTTACCACGTCACATCATCATCATCATCGTCGCAACGCGTTTGGCGGACTGCTGTCGTTGTACGTGGGACGCGTTTGGCGCACCAACCTTCATTGGGACGCGCTTGGCGCACCACCGTAACTTTTGACTTGCATTGCCTACGCGTCCTCAGGATGCACGGCGCACTGACCTGACGGTTTTTTTTAAGGATTTTGGCGTTTTCGCGTTTCCCCAGCTGCCCAACGCTCCCTCACGGCCTCGGAGGCTTTTCAGATCGCTCCAAGATGGCGCATGAGGCCCCGAAGAGGGCCCCAGGACGGCCCAGGAGGCTCCCCAGACAACCCACATGTGCCCCAAGAGCGCCCCAAGAGGGGGCCCAGAGGGGGACCATGAGCCGATATTTCGAAGCTTCTGGCACGAGAAGCCCCCAGGAGGCACCCATTGGCCACCGAGGGGCTCCCAAGAAACCCCATGAGGCCCCCGAGATGCCCCCAGGAAGCTTCCAAAAGGCTCCCAACGACCCCGTGGGAACGCCCAAGAGGCCCCCCCCCCAAACACACCCCAACAAATCATTCCCTTAGAAAGTCTCCCAGGGACATGGTTCATCATGGGCCCGAGGATGCCGGAGGTTCCGAAGCACCATCACGCTACCAGAAAGATGTCAGGGAAGTTGACTGGGAACATGTGCGATCGCTCGCCTTCTCGCGGCCGTCCGCGGATCGTTTCGCACAAAGTTGCCCCAAATGCCGTTAGGAATCGTATGGTAGCGGGGTATCCTTGGGCTTGCGGCGCTTTGGGCTTGCTAGAACCTGCGCGCGGGAGGCGCACGCGTGGTTCGAGTGGCCATGTATTGTTGGAGCTCCGCGCGGATTTCTCGGGTCCGCGCTTCGCACGCCTGGCGACGTCTTCGGCGCCGCCCCTGACTCGCTCCGCGCGCCAAGGAAGGTGTCCAGTGCGGAAATCCGTTCGGACTTCCACAAGTGTATGTTTATGCCGTTGTTTTTTCCTCCGTGACTGGCCTCCTCGATGCACGCGCAGTCCCCGATGGGTTGCCGCGTCGCGCAGCACCACAGCGCAGTTGCCGACGAGCCGCTGCTCCGCCATCATATCGCCTGGGCCGTGCGTTGTCGGCCTGGCCTGGCCTTCGCCACCTTGAGCCAGTCTTGGTCCAAAATAGCCCGAGCCAAAAATTCTACGAAGCAGACTTCGCTAGTACCACGTGTCCGCACGGACCGTGTTTTTGGTGCGCTTGCCGGCAATATGTGAATGAGTCTCCACTATGTGTGCGCGTCGGGGGCGAATGGCGAACGCATGCGTTCACAACGCCAGACCGATTGAGGCGAGCGTTTCTCGCTGGAGGAAGGGATCCACGAGGTCCGCACGGGCCTACAGTGGTACCGGCCAGTTTGTGGCATGCGGTGCAATCCTGGGTACCGCGTGCGCTTGGGGGCAGTCGACGCGCGCGCGCGAAACGAGCAGGTTGTGTATCACCTTTGCGATTGTCCCTTTGCCAGCGTCTTGGACACGACGAACATGTGCAAAGACTTGGCCATTGGCAGATGCTGATTGAGAAACGCGAGCAACTACTTCAGCACATGCCGCGGATGGACCCAGTCGTGCGCCACGCCCTGTTCGTCAGGTCGCCCACGGCTGCTGGAAGTGCCGGGCGCCAAGACGGGCCCAAAGATGACAAGGAAGTCTGGGCGATCAGCCCTGAAAGCCGCATCGCTGGGCGTCGACATCGAGACGGGGCCAGACGCCCGACTTCTGCCGCCACGGACAGCGCGCTGCCCGCAGCAGCGCGGGCACAGCCGTGAGCTCTGCGGCGCAGCACCGCCGCACGACGACGCGGGCTCTCGGACGCTGCGTCGTCGAGCAGGGCTCCCCCGCCGGCCGCTTCGGGGGCTGGCCCGCGGAGCCCGTGGACCGTCCGACCGAGGTGTGCCAGCAGCCCTTGCGTCGGGCTTTTGATGCAGCCCTTTCGGCGGTAATATCGACGGGGTGAGGTGGGTAGTGAGATCGGTCATGAGATCGATGGTGAGCCCGAGCGTGGGATCCCGAAGTCGTCCCAGAACCAGCAAGCGGGAACCCGGGATCCCGGAGCCGGGGACCCGGGAACGCAGTTGGCTACCGAAATGGGCCCTGGGCTTTCGCCAAAGCTTTCCATATCCGCCAGGACCCCCTCAGTGCGGGCACTGATTGGGGCACAGCCTTGACGGCGGAGGGTGGCGACAGTATCCGAGGAGGGGATTTATCCAGAACCACCGCTTGTGGGCCGGTTTTCGCGGACCTCCACAGGCGTTGGATCTGGGTCCCCGGGGGCCAACATGTATCCATATCCGCCGCCCGCTGGGGCACCAGGACGTCGGTTCCCAGGCGGTGGACATGGACAAATCCACGCCTCGCGCCGTAGCCACAGGCCGATGTGAAGTGAGACCACGCGGCGCCCTTGGTGCCGCGGTGCCCGAGGCGCCCCCCCCCCCCCCGAGGCGCCTGCGCTGTTGCCGGCGTGCGGTGGCCCCGAGAGCGCTGTGGCGGCCGACGGGCGCAGGCACGCCCAGGGATTCGCGCGCCGGCTCGTGGGGGGGGGGCGCGCCGCGACCGTGTGCGACCACAGGTGTTTTTTCCTCTGCCAAGCTCCAGGCTGGGGCGCCCCCTCCTCCTCCTCCTCCTCCTCCTCCTCCTCCTCCTCCTCCTCCTCCTCCTTCCTCCTTCCTCCTTCCTCCTTCCTCTTTCCTCTCCTCCCTCCTTCCTTCTCTCCTTCCTCCTCCTCTTCCTCCTTCCTCCTTCTCCCCCCTCCTTCCGCTCCTCTCCTCCTCCTCCTCCTCCTCCTCTCCTTTGTTCCCTCTCATCCTCCTCCTCCATCCTTCCCCTCCTCCTCCTACTGCCCCTCCTCCTCCTCCTCTTCCTCCTCCTCCTCCTTCTCCCCCTCCTCCTCCTCTTCCTCCTCTTCCTCCTCCTCTTACTCCTTCTTCCTCCTCCTCCTCCTCCTCCTTCCTCCTCCTCCTCATTCTCCTCCTCTTCCTCCTTCTTCTCCTTCTCCCGACTCCCGCCTCAGTGCAGCGGGTCGCCCCAGTCCGCCTGGCCGAGTTCCCCGTCAGACCGGCGCCGGCCCGTCTCTCTGCATCTCGCGAGTGTCATCCTGTACCGAGCGGGCGGCTCGAAGTGCAAGGCGGCGGCTCGCTGCGTGGGCGCTCCTTTCCACATTGAGCGCTAGCGCCCCCTTCCAGCGCAGAGGAGGAGGAGGAGGAGGAGGAGGAAGGAGGAGGAGGAGATGCCGCGCCTGCTCTTGGCCCAGGGTATCGGCCACAATGCGCCCCCTTGGGGCGCGCCAGAATGAGTGAGTGATGGGGAGGAGGCGGAGGAGGAGGAGGAAGAAGAACATGAAGGAACATACTATTAAGAAGAAGGATAAGACAAGAAGAGAGTGTGGAGGAGGAGGAGGAGGGGGAGGAGGAGGAGGAGGAGGAGGAGGAGGAGGAGGAGGAGGTGGCCGACCAGTGCAAACAAGACTCGTCAGCGATATTGCAATCCAACATTATTCCAAGTTCCCTCGTCATAGGCCCCTACAGGGATCCAGTTTCTCTGAGGAAAAGTGCCCCGTTAGAAGACAAACGTTTTTGAACATCCGGGACTAAGCCAGAACACCTGGGATGACAATGCCACGAATCACCGTTACTGTTACGTCTCGACGATCTTGAATCGCGCAAGAACGCAATTTTTCTTGGCCCGTCGGCACCACGGACCCATGTAAATGTTTCGCCTTGACAGAACGACAGCCTGCCGAAACACAATTTTTGGGATGTCATGACAAAACTTTTGAAGAGGTTGTAAACTCATAAAACGACTGCGCGTGGCGCTGAGCGATAACCACAGTTTGAAAAGGAACCGCCCTCCGTCCAGGAAGCCGTTGCAATCCAAACTAGTTCTTCAGACGAGTGTACGCGACGCTAAGTCGAGAGCCACATTTTGAAAACGGCCCGCCCTCCATCCGTGAAGCTCTTGCACTTTTCAAGACGAATGTGCGCGGCGCTGAGGCGAGAGCCACATGTTGAAAACGGCCCGCACTCCATCCACTAAGCTGCAGCAAACATTCGTAAGACGTATTGCCCGGCGTCGCGGCGAGAGCCACATGTTGAAAACCACCCGCCCTCCAACCGTGAAGGTGTTGCAAACCTCGAGCGTCAAGATCATAGAAAGTGAGGTAGTCTTAGGCGAAACGCCTGGCCCGCCCTTTCGACCGGCCACGGGCCCGCGACAGGGAGGGTTTGTTTATAAGGAGAAGGAGTTGAGGACGAGGAGGAGGAGGAGAAAGAGATGGAGGAGTAGGAAGAACAGGAGGAGGAGGAGAGGAAAAAAGAGGAGGAGGAGGAGGACGGAGCAGGAGGAGGAGGACCAGTGGAAACCCAAGAGTCATCAACGATGTTGGAATTACCCCCCCCTCTTCACAGGCGCCTTACAACGGTTGATTTCCATTGAGGGAACTGCGTCGTTGGAAGACAACAGATTGAAGATCCTGAAGGGTACCAAAACATTGTTCTCGGGATTTCAACGCCACGTATCAACCTGACTGCTGCGTCTTGACGGTCTGTGCCAGAACGCCATTTTTGCGCCCGCATAATCCTGAACCCTTCCAAAACGCAATTTCTGGTACGTTGATCATAGGAATCCGTGAAACTCTTGCAAATGTTTTAAACGAGTGCGCGCGGCGCTAAAGCGAGAGCCACATTTTGAAAAGGAACCGCCTTCAATCCGTGAAGTTCTTGCATGGTTTAAAAACAAGCGTGCGCGGCGCTTAGGCGATTGCCAGATTTCGAAAGCGACCCGCCCTCAATCCGTGAAGTTCTTGCAAATGCTTGAAACGAATCAGCGCGGCGCAAAGGCGAGAGCCACATGTTGAAAACCACCCGCCTTCAATCCGTGAAACTCGTGCATGTTTCAACGACTGTGTGCGGCGCTAAGGCGAGAGCCACATTCTGAAAACGGCCCGCCCTCCGTCTGCGAAGCTGTTGCCACTTTTTACGCTTCAGAGTCATAAATGGTGAGGATGTCTCTGGCGAAACGCCCAGCCCGCCCTAAAAACTGGCCTCGGGGTGCGACAGGGAGAAGTTATCTATAAGGAGAAGGATTGGAGGAGTAGGGGGAGGAGGAGGAGGAGGAGGAGGGGGAGAGAGAGGAGGGAGAAGGATAGGAGAGGAAGGGAGGGAAAGGAGGGGAAGGAGGAGGAGGAGGGGAAGAAGAGAGAAGGAGGAATAGGGGAGGGGTGGCAGGAGCAGGAGGAGGAGGAGGAAGAGGGAGGAGGAGGAGGAGGGGAGGAGGAGGAGGAGGAGGAGGAGGAGGAGGGAGAGAGGAGGAGGAGGAGGAGGAGAGAAAGAGGAGGACGAGGAGGAGGAGGAGGAGGAGGAGGAGGAGGAGAAGGAGGAGGAGGAGGATGAGAGGGGCGCGAGGTTGGAATGCTCGCGCCTGTTCCGCGAGCGCGGCCAGGGGGGGCGGCAGGCGGAGGGGCGCAGAGCATCGGCCCACCCCCAGCGCGCAGCGAGGCAGGAGGAGCTTTTTTCGGGGCGGCCCGCCCAGCAGCGCCTCTCCAGCGCAGCGCAGCACCGCAGCAGGCGGCGTGGCATGGCGGCGGCTCGCACGGTATCGTTTTCTCCTTCACCGTTTTGCTGATCGGCGCGGGCCCTCGCACCCCATCCATGGAGTAGATCTTGGCTGTCTTGGGCGCCTGTTTCAAGCATGTCGACGGCTCCCCATAGGATCCCCCATTGGAGTGTTGCTCCAAGCGGTCTCGCTGAGCAGAGGAGCGGAGGTCCGGAGCCAGCCCCGTCTCCCCCCCCCTTCCGCTCACTGTCGAAACGCGAAATAAGAAAACGCTCACCACCGGGGATGGGGGATCGGGGAACGGCTTTCGCTGGAGAAGGGCTAACGTCGACTGGACGTGAGGGTGAACGTCCGCCGCAGCGACCTTGGGTGCGGACACAGACGGGTCCCCAGACGGCTGATGGAGACGCGGTAGCAGCGGCTTGCGCGCTTGTGTTTGCCCCCCACCCCCCCCCCCCACGGCCCCCCAAAAGCCCGCACCAAAGGTCACCCTTACCCAGGGTCACTCTTGCGTGTAGTCGGTAGAGGATCCAGGAACGGCATACGGACTGGAATTTTGACTGAGCGCGTCTCTCCACCGATTCTGGCCCACCGCGCTTCGGTGCGACATGCTATCCATTTACCAGCCCCAAACAACAAATTTACCGAGCGCTTCCCGACCTGCCACCCCGCAGAGTGAAGCGCCATGATATCCGCTGTCGGTGGATAGCGTATGGCCGGGGCCGCCTCAGTTCCCGATCGTAGACATGACCCTGTCGGAGCTGCGTGCGGATTTCTTGGATCTGCGCTGGGCCCCCCTGGCGGCGCCCCTCGCGCGCCCCGCGCGCCAAGGAGGGGGTCCAGCGCCAATCCAAGAAACCTGCGCGGACCTCCGACAGTTTATGTTTACGCAATCCGTTATTCCTTGAATTGCGGTGGCACGCGTCGGAGATTTAGCATCGGAAATGGTTTTGACACGTTCTGGGTTTCTTTCGTCTCAGCCATCCTGTGGTGTTGGGTCCCCGGTTAAAAGAGACAGCGATCCGCGTTTCCTTCTCCTCTTCCTGCTCCTGCTCCTCCTCCTCCTCCTCCTCCTCCTCCTCCTCCTCCTCCTCCCAGGCCCTGGCCCAGGACGGGCGCATAGCGGCCAGCTGCTTCGCGCCCTCCGCAGGACACACACCGCCTGCGTTACCGCTCCCAGCCACCATGTAGGCCTCCCCTTCAGACTACAATTAAGTGGGGCATGTCCCTCTACAGGAGGAATATTCGAAACTAGTATTGACAAAAAGATTGGGCCGATGTTTCTGGTATGTTCCTCCTGTTTGATCATTGTTCCGGTATGTTTTCAATTTTCGCCCGAAGTGCGCCTGTAGGAGGACATACCCAACCTACGACTAGACTGTACAGCTCTCTTTCCATGCCAAATTCATAGCGGACTTTGGTTAACTCTTAGCGTTTTGGGTTTGCCGACGTAGTGATGTGCCCGGGAAATCAGATCAGAAGAAGACAAGGAGACGGGGGGCGACATACGCCAAGGCATCGAAGCATCATGCCTTGCATTTCGGTTGGTAAAAAGAAACGTTGACCAACACGAGTGCAGGATGCAGCCTCCTCCTCAGGGCAGGCGGATTCCCACAGGGCAACCAGAGCGATCTGGTCCATCTCCGCGCGAAGCCAACGTACAATTGACGCTACGACGCAATGGAGCGCAAGTTCGAGCCATGCCGTCTACGGCGATATCTGGTCAGAGGGGGTTCTTCGATGAGAAAGTATACATCTGGAAAGTACGATCGAAAAACGGCACGTCACATTTCCCCCCCCCCCCACGGACACTTCCAGAAATGCATCACCTGAGGTATCTACGTGTGTCGTCGCTCGGCGGGGCTCGCATACGCTCCCTTGAAGTCGCTCGTTCTGAAGGAAACATGTATACATCCCGAACGTAAGTGTGAACACACTACTCTCCATATCTGTCGAAACACCACACAAGCTGTCTGAAACAGATCACTTGCGAGGTAAGCGCGCGCCTTCTTCCAGCGGGATTGGGTTCCACTTCGTTGTCCCCTTGTGGCCTCCTCCTCGCGTCTTTGTGCCAGGGCATCCGGAAAGGGGATGCCCCTTTTTCAGCGAGCCAGGGTGTCCGCACTCAGTAGGACTCTGTGCGCTGCGCACGCCTCGTGGAAGTCTACGGGGTCCCGCGCCTTGTAGTAGCTGTCTTGCGCGACGCGCAGGCGGCGCTCAAGGTCGGCGTTGCGCCTCTTCTATGTGCGAAGCTTTTCGTGCGACTTCAAGTTGTTGCAGACCTTGCGTTAATTTGTCTTCAAGGTCCTCGCCGTCTGAGCCAGTTTCTGCTCGACTCCCTCCTTGCCCTTCTTTTCCCAAACGGGAACGCAACCAGGCGACATGCGGAGAACCCCACCAACATATATAATACGAATGTTCACACCTTCGTTTTTGCTGGGGGGTATGTCGCCTGATGGCGCCCGCGGGCCTCTGGTAGGCCTTCTTCCAAAACTTCGCTTCCCCCACTCCTGCTTGGCGTCCTCGCGGTGGTGCTTCGCGTCGTCGCGGGCGGCCCGCGCGTTAGGCATGTGCATGGTGGAGCTCCCCCGTCGGAAATACAACAAACTAAGTGCACGTATGGTTTTCCATGTTTTATACACGTTTCTAGGATGTAATGGTTGGGCTTGTGAAACCGACTCGAAAGATCCTGAGGTGGTTAGCGTCGGTCTGATATGTTGTTGGCATTCTGCTGAAGGCGGGTCTTGAGCTTCACGGCGGCTGTGGTGGCGCCCTCTGTCGTCAAGTGCCTCGTGCGGGGTTGGAGCAGGAATTGTTCGAGCCGTTGTTTGGCCTTGTGATCAGCGTGTTTATTTAGTTTCGCTTTGTAGGCTTCCGTATCCTTTTGCGGGTTTCCCATTTGGGCTAAGACTTCGTTTGTTTGGGGCCAAAAGTGCCGCGCGGCGCGACAACGAAACGAAGAAGCGAATGATGAGGAGAACGGGATGAGGAGAATCGGACAGCGGGTGACCAGGAAACGCAGGAGGAGGAGGAGGGGAGGAGGGGAGGAATGAGAAGAGAGGAACGCAATGAGAGACCAATGGAACAAGAAAGAAGACGATGAACATGTATGCCGAATCAACTGATGAGCAATAGCGTTCCAGTCCTTCAGACGTCTAGATCTGGATGACCATGTATGCCGTCGTCGTCCTCCTCCTCCTCTTCACCCTCCTCCTCCTCCTTCTCCTCTTCCTCCTTCTCTTCCTCATCCCAATCATAATCCCCTTGCGGAGCATAACCAAGCAAAACTATGGGGAACAAACAACACAAAGCAACAACAACAAACATCCTCAGGGACTCCCCTCCCTCCCCCCCCACCCCACCCCCCAGAAAGTCCCCCAAGATTGCTTGCTTTGTCTTCTTTGTTGTTTTGGGTGTTTGTCCTAGGGTGTTGTGCGACTCTGCTCCGAAAGGGGATTATGGTTCGGATGAGGAGGAGGACGAGGAGGAGGAGGAAGAGGAGGAGGAGGAAGATGGAGGAGGAGGAGGAGGAGGACGAAGAACCGTTTTGAAATGGCCCGCGGGGGGGGGGAGCCCACGCGAGCCTTGTGCAAGGACATGTGAACACCGCAAAATAAAACGTGTGGGGCCATTGTGCCCCCCCCCGGCCCCGGCAGAGGCACCATTCATGTCACGCCCGACTGCATCCACACGGGCAGGCACCACACAGCAAACACATATTGTACCTCGGCGGCGCTGCGGAGAATTGTGAAGATGGAAGGGCTCGCCGCCATAAGCACCAGTTCACGAGACAGGGCCCACATACTTCGGGCAAGCACCTGATCATCGAGCGCATCGAGATCATTTCTTCGCACCAGTGGGGGCGGTGGGCGAGACGAGTTTTCGTGTTGTACGCTGACATGCGCCATGAGGGATCTGCAGCGGATCCTCGACGCCCAACCCAAGAACCATGGTCCACTCGTTTGGAGATTTCGGTATCAGTTGTACTTTCAAGAAGACTTCAAAGCACAACGGCGAACCACAGTGGGACTACGACAAGCTAGCAGCGCTACAAGAACCAGAGGCGGACTTCTCACTCATCGTTGAACTGGAACGCAGGTGCGACCTGGGGGCCACTGGCGCGCGTTGATGACCCCTCAGAGGCGTGGCAAGCCTCGGTGGCAGACGTTAGGGTCGCAGCCTTACCGAGTTCGCGCGAGGTGGCCCCGTAGGCCCTACCTCTAAGTATGTGACAACAAGCGGCAGAAGCTTCTCGACCGTAGGAGGAGGCTCAACTGCACCTGCTTTTCCGAAGAGGGCAGTCTTGCTCTCAGGCAGGGAGATCAAGCGTATGGAGAGGCAGCTCGACACGGCCCAGGTCCAGAGGCTCCTAGAGGAGGTGACCTTGGCCGCAGAGCGCGGCCAGACGTCCACGGTTTTGACGATTGTCTACCAGATAGGCGCCAGATATCACGGAGTCCGACAGACGTTCCAACACGCTTACGCACTACCTTCCGACTGCCGACGAGTGGACCGACATCATGTTGGCTGCAGTTCCAGACGGTAGCTTCTCTGTGGTACAAGTACCTGGCCCCGAGCTGTCCGCTCAGCTGACTCGCTCGAGCTACGCGCTCAAGATGACCCAGCTGGAGAGTTCAGAGAGCTGAGAGGACGACCTGCTGCGACGGCCTACGACGACTACACGGACACGCTCGCTGCTCTGAGAAAGGCCGCGCGCAGGCGTTTCTCTCCCATGCACTCGGCCCCCGCGGAGGTCTGGCTCGGCATCATGAGGGCGGCGAGTCGAGAGCTGAGGCGATCCCACCAGGGTGCCAGATGAGCGCATCCAAAGGCAGTTGCCCCGCAATGTGAGATGCCCATGGCTGGCGGAGCGCCTCCAAGCTTTCTTCCGTCAGATACGTATGTCATGTCGTACTCCAGCTTGGTGGCATTGGTCCAGGACTTTCCAGCTTGCCAAAGGCAGCGACAAGATAAAACGCCGAAGGCCATGCGACTGATTCCCTGCTTCTGCCCGTTTGGCAAGGCATGGTACCGTGCTGAAGGAGGAGGCGGAGGAGGAGGAGGAGGAGGAGGTTTAAGAGGGAGGCGAAGGAGGAGGAGGCGAAGGAGGAGAAGGAGGAGGAGGCGGAGGAAGAGGAGGACGGGGAGGCGGAGGAGGAGGAGGAGGAGGAGGCAGACAATGTTTGAGAGGGAGGCGGAAGAGGAGGAGAAGGAGGAGGAGGAGGCAGAGGATGAGGCGGAGGAGGAGGCGGAGGAGGAGGAGGCGGAGGAGGAGGCGGAGGAGGAGGCGGAGGAGGAGAGGAGGCGGAAAAGGAGGAGGAGGAGGTGGAGGGGGAGGAGGCGGGGGGAGGAGCTGCCCTCGCCGCCCGCCGCCCTCGGGGGCAGGCGGCGCGATGGCCGCCCGCCGCGGCTTCGCCCTGCCGCTCCTGGCCCTGGCCTGCGCGCTGCTCGCCCTGCCCGCCGCCTTCGTGCCCGCGCCCGCGGGGCAGGCAGCTTTGCCCGGCTCCCGCGGCGCCGCCGTGCGCCCCTGCCTCGTTTCGGGCGACAACGGGGCCGACGACGACGACGACGACGACGACGACGAGGAGGAGGACGACGTCGACAACGACGACGACGACGCCGCCGACGACGACGACGACGACGACGAGGACGACGACGACGACGTCGACGTCGACGACGACGACGACGAGGAGGACGACGTCGACGACGACGACGACGACGACGTCGACGTCGACGACGAGGACGAGGACGAGGACGACGAGGACGAGGACGAGTCAGGAGTGGAAAAAACACACAGACACAATGAATCGGCGATTCCCAGAAAATATGGGAAAATATGGGGAACCTTTTTATTTGTGTGTATTTATCTGTGTGTCCTGGGGCCCCTTCAACGAGGGACACCGCGGCGGCCTCGTGCCGCCGGGCGGCCCTGCCGTCGCCGGGCGCCGACGACCCGCGCCCAGGCCCCCTCGAGGACGCCCTGCCCCAGGCGCGTCCTCGCCCCTCGATCCTCGATCCTCGATCCTCGACCCTCGATCCTCGATCCTCGACCCTCGACGCTCGATCCTCGATCCTCGACCCTCGATCCTTGACCTTCGATCCTTGACCCTCGATCCTCGATCCTCGATCCTTGACCCTCGATCCTCGATCCTCGATCCTCGATCCTCGGTCCTCGATCCTCGATCCTCGGTCCTCGATCCTCGATCCTCGATCCTCGTTCCTCGCTCCCCGATCCCCGATCCTCGATCGGGCCACCGGACGCGACCTCGGCTCACCTCACCTGCCAGCGTGCCGATCCGTAGCTTGGCCTCTTCCCACACCCCCTCGAGACATGAAGAAATCACAACGGAAGGGTTTTCCTTATTTTCTGTTTCTGTGGGCCTTTACCGCGCCTCGAGGCCTTAAACAACAACGGTTCATGATGAAAGGCAAGTCCATGGGAATGGGTCGACAGCCAGGAAAGAAAGCAAGAGTTACACGGATGGATGGCTGTACTTTGCAAGTTTGGGCTTTCGTTGGGCACGTCGACTCAGTCCCCGACCCCGACCTCTCGGCATCTCATGCAGCTAGAAGGGTGGAGCGCGGATCGTTTTCAGAACGGGGCTCTCGCACGAGAGGCAGGCCTATGGTGCGCTCCTTTGTTGAAGATGGCGCTCCCTTCAGAGACTTACGACGGACTTACAATCGGGCAGGGGTGTAAGATCGAGGTCGTAACGGGGAGGGTACCCTAATGTTCTTCGTGTTTGTTGGATGTTCTTGTGCGCCCTGGGGAGGGTACCATTGGATGATCTGCTCGTGTGGGCTGGCGGAGGGTCTCATGTGTTTGAGGGATGTGTTTCTCGCCCAGGTCCAACTGTATGAAGAGGAGGATGCTTCGGAAGCGAGGGTGTGCTGCGGCATCGTTCGCTCCGCCCCCCTCCTCCTCTTCCTCCTTCTCCTCCTGCCCCTCCTCCTCCTCCTCCTCCTCCTCATTCCTCCTTCTCCTCCTCCTCCTCCTTCTCCTCCTCCTCCTCCCCCCCTCCTCCTCCGCCTCCTCCTCCTCCTCCTCCTCCCTCCTCCTCCTCCTCCTCCTTCTCCTCCTTCCTCCTCCTCCTCCTCACTCCTCCTCCTCTCCTCCTCCTCCTCCTCCTCCTCCTCCTCCTCCTCCTCCTCCTCCTCCCGTTCCTCCTCCTCCTCCTCCTCCTCCTCCTCCTCCCTGTCCCTCTCGCCCGTCTTCCTCCAGCGCTTCAAGCGCAAAGTAATGTTTCCAGGGGTGGGGGCCGCCCGGCGAAAGAGTAACGGAAGGGTGTTTCACGCAGGAGGGAGAAGCACACACAGACACAAGTAATGGTCGGTTTCAGATGGGCAAATCTGGGACTTGGGGGTGGGAAGACGAACGTCCAGAAGATATGAGGACATATGGGGGATCCTTGGATTTTAGTGTTTCTTTGTGTGTCCCTGGGACCCTTGAAGGGTGTTTCATCGTCCCCTTTTTCCCTTCTGCTCAAGCTGCTGGCCATCGCTGCTGCTCGTATCCCTCTAGGCTCGAGTCCTGAAACCCGCGGTGGACAGAGTGCTGAGTGGATCGGTAAGGTAACCGTCGTCCATTCCACGTTCGCCTCCTCCTCCCCTCCTTCCAGATGATGCGCTTGCTCTTTTCTCCTGCAAGAGAATGTTATCTGTTGGCCTGGCGGCTCGCTCTCGGATCCCCTCGTCGTTATCCGAAGCCTCCCCCGTCCTCCTCCGTCCCCAGAACCCCGACGTCGTGATTTTGATCGCAACGTCGACTCCCGCGGGATATCTACTACTTCCCTGGGGCTATGTTTTATCCTATGAGTAGCTTTTCACAGACTGGGGGCCCAGCGAGGGCCCCCAAAGGCTGAGAATGGTAACAACGCTGGCCGTCGTGATTTGTTCACGATACGAGGGGGTCCTGGGTCATCCCTTCCTGCGCTGGACAAGCACTGGCTGGCGTGATCCGTCGCGTCCTGATGGCCGCGAGCCAAGAAAATATAAGAAATCGGAACGCGGCGCTCGATCCACTTCGGAAATATTATGCGACCAGTGCGTGCACGATCGGGGAAAACCACGATTGGAAATACAGTCGGGGCGCTGAAGCAAGAACCCTTTTCGATGGGGAGGGGCTCGGGGTTAAGTGTCCGATGGGAAATCGAAGCTTCACTGATGGAAGGATGGGGCCTCGTTCCTTATTTTAGGGGTTCCTGAGGTCAACGCCTCGATTATATAAGTGCGATGCACATAGGGGAGGAGCCCGCCCTGGCACAGAGGAGTGCGCAATGGTACAATGAGCACGGAGGGTCCTCCTCCCCCCCCCGCCTTGGGGGGCATCGCTGGGCTGGTGTATTCATCCCGGGTCCGTCTCTGACGGGTCCGCCCGACAACGGCCCCCAGGGCCAAGAGTCACGAACGTTGCCTTACTCTTCCAGGGCGGTCTGGATCCTGCTCCCCCTGCCCTCCTCCCCCAACCTACTCGACTTGACGGGAGCCGAAGCGATCCGACGAGGCCACCCAAGGCGGGCCCCGTGGCCCGCCAATGGGGAGGCTCTCTTGTCATGTTCGGCTCCCCGCGAGGAGTTGTATCACCCCAGGGGCACCAAGGGGAGGAGTGTGAAGCGGCCCCTCCCAGAGGACGGTGGCCCGCGACCGCCGCGCGCGGGGTCTGCGACGGCCCGGAGAACGTCTCCTTTTTTCCCTGGCGACAGCGGGCGTGACCGAGGGGGGGGGGAGAGGGCTGGTCACGCCACGAGTCGCGCTGGCGCCGTCTGGAAAGGCTCAGGATTGGCTCTGGCCCTCTTTCCCAGACAGCGCCGGCGCAAATCGCGACGTGACCAAGAGGGCGGGGGAGGGGGAGGGGGCGAGGCCAGTCGCGGGCGTCATCGCGAGCAATCTAGCAAAACATGGGGGTGCCGACAGGCGAGACAGCACAGGCGTCCGCCTCCAGGCTGTGCGCGCCCTCGTGGGCGAAGAGCATGTCCGCATCCGCGGCCTTGCGGCCCCTGGGCCACGACCCGCGACGGCGGATCATTGTTTCGCGGATGCCCTGCGCGGAATGTGTCGGTGCGATCGCGTATCCGCGGGATCGCGCCCCGGAGGAGGAGGCGGAGGAGGAGAAGGAGGAGGAGGATATGTTCGCAGCTCGTGGCGACTTGGCCCCCACCTGCGCAGGCAAGGGCCGCGGAGGCCCACTTGCCAGTGGCCCACCTCCTCCCCCCCTTCCTCCTCCTCCTCCTCCGCCTCCTCCGCCTCCCCCTCCTCCTCCTCCTCCTCCTCCTCCTCACTCCTCCTCCTCCTCCTCCTCCTCCTCCTCCTCCTCCTCCTCCTCGTCCTCCTCCTCCTCCTCCTCTCCTCCTCCTCACTCCCTCCTCCTCCTCTCCTCCTCCTCCTCCTCCTCGTCCTCACTCCTCCTCCTCCTCCTCCTCCTCCTCCTCCTCCCCTCCTCCTCCTCCTCCTCCTCCTCCTCCTCCTCCCTCCTCTCCCCCTCCTCCTCCTCCTCCTCGTCCTCCTCCTCCCCCTCCTCCCTCCTCCTCCTCACCCCTCCTCCTCCTCCTCCTCCTCCTCTCCCTCCTCCTCCTCCTCTCCCTCCTCCTCACTCCTCCTCTTCCTCCGCCGCCAGAAAGCCGTGACACTTCAAGGTTGAACGTTTCATTGTAGGCTTCTCAGATGGGGTCCGAGTAGATGGGGTCGGAGGGGCACGCCGCATCGTCGATGCATTGACGATGCGGCTCGATGTGGAGCCCGATCTTATCCACGCTGGCGTCGCGGATGCATCGCTGATGCATCCCCGATGCATCGCCGATGTATCAGCGATGCGGCGCGATCCTCCGACACCATCTACTCCGACCCCATCCAGGAGGCCTCTAAAAGTGGTGGTATTTCGAGGTTGAACGTTCCATGGGGTGTCCGAGACCAACGCCGACGCCATCGCGGCGCGAGCCTGTCACAGGCGTCTTTCCCAGGCGGTGCCCTCCGCCCTCAGACCTGCGCGGACCGCCAAGCATCGGGGCGATCTGACGAGGTCACCCAAGGGCGGCCCGTGCGGGGCTCCTCTCTCTCTCACGTTGGACTCCCCGCGGGGAGGGGCCCCTGTCCAGGGGTACCCTGGGGCGGCCCAGACATTCGAGTAGGGGATCGTCTTCAGAATGGATTTGCCCCCGAATTGATCTTCTTGTCGAGTCATAATTGCGTAGAGTGTTCGTAGATCCACGAACAGTATGCGCGTTTCTCGTGGATTCGAAGAACAAATCAGTTTCTGGGTAATGAATTCTGCAGTCGCCCCCTACTCGAGGCATGCGACGTCCTGGTGTATTCAAACGCGCGCTCGCCAGAAGTCCCGACCACTTCCCCGGAGGCGGCTCTTTCCATTCTGAGTCGTTGGTCCCAGGGGCCGAACATGGCCGAACACCTCCCGTCCGAATCCTGTCACGACGCGAACATGTCCGAGGCCCCAGACCCCCGACGTCGTGATTTTTTCACAGCGCCGACCCCCACA